TGAGATTTCAACCAGATGCATGTAAATGGGGGGGTGTGTGTGTGTATGCGAGTGCTTTTTGTCTTTAAATTTGTTTATGTGTGTGCAAAGTTCAAATTTGTGCTGAGTTCAAAGTGCAAATATTTGCAACAACTTTGATTGCAACCGACTGCGGCAAATTGTTGACATTTTCCCATATTTCACTTTGCCGTACAATACACGCACGCACACACATACACGCATGTACATACACTCCCAGGACTTGCTACAGTCACATTTTGCGCGCAATTGTGCAATACCATACAATCGTTTTGCGGTTTCGAATTTTCGGTATTCAATCTAACATGTATGTATATATGTATGTGTTAGGTTTTTATTTTTGCTATTTTGAGATTTTGTTTTAGAATTTATTCCATTTTTTTAATTTTAGTCTGGGATTTAGCGCTAGACACAGTTTACCTGTATTTCAGTTTTCCATATTTAATTTTCTATAAAATATATTTAATTTTAGAACTGAGTGGAGCACTCGTTTTACAACATATTTATCCTTAGCCTTTTGTTTATAGTTTTTACGTTTGTTTTATGTATTTTTTTGGTATCATTAATATAAAAATTAAAATTAATATTAAAATTAAAATTAAAATTAAAATTAAAATTAAAATTAAAATTAAAATTAAAATTAAAATTAAAATTAAAATTAAAATTAAAATTAAAATTAAAATTAAAATTAAAATTAAAATTAAAATTAAAATTAAAATTAAAATTAAAATTAAAATTAAAAAAAAAATTAAATTAAGTAAAAAATTAAGTTAAAATTTAATTAAAAATATAAATTAATATCAGAGCTTATACTAAAATTTAAACTGAATTTGATCTAAAAATTTAATAATTCATTTTATAAAAATATTTTTTTTTTTAATTAGAATAAAATAAATATGATTTTTAGAAAAAAATTAAAATCGGAATTTAAATTAAAATTTGATTAACAAACGTTTCAATTAAATTGGAATACACAACGAAACTGAATTTGCATTGAAACTTAAAGTTGAATCATAACTGATATACAGCGTTTATAACACTACACCAATAGAAACCACGCTATTTTCGTTGCTGCGACCATTCCATCTAGTGTGAGAGTATTTGTTTGTGAAATGCAATTAAGTAAAACAATCAAATGCTTACACAAACAAGTCATGATGATCCTTTTTCCATGAACCTAAGCTAGGAATATTGGACGTATGCAATTATTTATTTTAGGGTGATACATGATTAAATGACATCTTTCTGATGCGCTACTGCTCTGTATAATTTTTATATATATCATTGGAATGTGGGGGAAAATTACAAGAAAAAATATATTTTTGAATAATTTTTACCGATTTTATATCCGCTGAAAAAAAAAATAAATAAATAAAAAATTAATAAGGTAGTAATATAAAACGAAATATTGTTTCCATCAAAATTTGTATTTCTCATTAAGAGAATTTTTCATCCCCAATCCACGTAAAGGATTTAATGTGCATTTATGTAAAATGTTTTCTTGTTTGAGTGGAACCTCTGCTTTGTAATCTCCAACTCTTTAAAGCTGCTGTTTAAATAAGCGTGAAATGAATTGAAAATCTTTACAAAATTACATACAAACTACATATCGGAGTATGTATATAGTGCTTTCATGTAAACATAGCTTTCTCTACATGTATTTCCATATGAATTGTATATACTCGTACATACATATATAAATATCTGCTCGTGTTCATTCGAATTGCTTACAAATGCCTTTTGTGCTTTAACCGCATTTTCTAACCCAAATTGTAAACAACTACAACAACAACAACTGAAACGCTTTGAGCGACGATAATACTTGGCGTTTAGAGAATTAAACGCTAGCAGCAATGCGTTATTACCCATTGGTATTTTGCTGGAAAGCCTAAGAGTTTGGGCATTTAAATTTGCTGGGAACTAATTGAATTAATTTGAAATCAATTACCAACAAAATGCTTTATTTACTTAATTGTTGAAGAAAAAAAAAAAAAATAAGATTAATAAAAATTAAAAAAAAATGATTCAAGTGTTAATAAAAACGTTATACCATGTGAAGCTTTTTTGTGCTTTAAAATTATTATTTGTTACGTCCTGAAAGGTCATGTTATCGGATTTTGTGATGTGATGCGATATCATATCATTTGATGTTTTGTGTGAGATGACTTTAATGCTGAGTTGTTGAATAATGCAATGCAATATTACTAAACCTAATGATGTACTGTTTCATTTTTTGATATGATGACAAGTGTAACAAGTGTAAAACTCTTAAATATTATATGATGCGATGTGAAGTGACATCATATCATATGCAATTTTTTTAACCGCTTCATTTCAGTTGAGGTGATTTTCATACATGTCACGGCATTTAATTTTATATGAGTTTGTGCGATGAGTTGATTTATGATATTTTTACGATTGATTGTGTTTTCTGCAATTAAGTATTTTAAATTTAACCGAAGATATAAAACGTTGTTAACATCAACATTTACTGTTTTGTTGAACAAAATGGCATATCATACAATGTGTTGTGATGTGAATCCATGAAGTGATATTATGTCCTCTAAATTTGTGCGTTGGGTTTGTATTGAACTGGCGTAAAGACTCCGCATATATAGCTAGAAAGTAATATGGTAGTACTGGTAGTCTAAGGGCTGCACAAGATTGCGATTTCACGCGAAGTGTCTTTAAGGAAAATGTATTAAGCCGTGTAAATGCATAAATAAAAAGAGCCATGTAAAGCTCACTCTCTTGTAGGATATGATGTTATGCTTTTAGACGTTATGTCATATGATGTCATGTTTTATGATGTGATGTCTTATGATGTGATGTTCTTATGATGCGATGTTTAATGCTGTGATGTTTATATGATGCGATGTTTCATGGTGTGATATCATTTAATGTGATACCATATGGTGTGATGTTACATGAAATGATGTCAGCTTTGCCAAATAATATCATCTAAAATCCAGGGAAGGGTCTCTCTGAGCCGTTTGATACCAAACGAGGTTTTAGACCGGATAATTCCTTATCTTGTGACTTCTTTCATTTATTTCTAGCGAAAATAATACGACTGCTTACCTCGCGATCGATCACAACAAGTGCGGGATGGGATAGATACAGAAAGTTGAAGAGGGAGGCAAGACGCATCTGCAGACAAAAAGAAAATCCCGAGATGCTTGAATACGAAGAGCTTGAGAAGCTTGCCGACATGGGTAATTCTCCAAAATTAAGAAGATACGACGACTTACGGAAGGTTTCAAAACCAGAGTAGACTCTTGTAGGATACAAAGAGGTATTCTAGCTAGCGATTTCCAGAGTTTATTGAATTTATGGAGGGAGCACTTCTCCAACCAGCTGAATAATAGTGAAAATGGAGATGGTGAACCCGAAAACCCAATCGATGAAAATGGAAAAAACGCTTCATTCCCTGACCATGAAGAAGATCCGCTTAAAAAAGATCAAAGCGGCGGGAGCTGACGACCTAGCGGCAGAACTATTCAAACATGACTTCCAAGAGCTGACAAGGAATATGCATCAGCTACTTTGCAGAATATGGTCGGACGAAAGCATGCCCGACGATTGGAATTTAAGTGATGATATTGACATCATCGCCCTCAATAACCGCGCCGTTAGTTCTGCTTACTCCGTGCTTGATAAAGAAGTGAAGCGAGTCGGTCTAGTAATAATCGAGCACAAGCCAAAATATCTAGTGTCATCAAACAAACAGTCATCGCATTCGCGACTTGGCTCCCATGTCACTGTTAATAGTCATAACTTTGAAGTTGTAGATAATTTCGTCTATCTAGAAACCTAATTAAAACCAACAACAATGTCAGTCTTGAAATCCAACGCCGCAAACTGCAATAGAAAAGTCAAGTCCTCTCCCCTAGAACGAAAACAAAACTTTACACGTCCCTCATCGTTCCCATCCTGCTGTATAATGCAGAGGCATGGACGATGACAACCTCTGATGAGCCGGCATTAGGAGCTTTCAAGATAAAGTTTTTTCGCGTTGACAACGGCGAAAATCGCAGACGATGGAACGATGAGCTGTACGAGTTATTTGGCGTCATTTAGTTTAGTTCAGCGAATCAAGAAGCAGCGGCTACGGTGGCTAGGTCATGTGGTCCGAATGTGGTAGCAGAGAAAGAGGAAGACCTCCACTCTGTTGGATAGACCGAGTAGAGAAGGACCTGGCTGCACTTGATAAATCCAATCGAGGCCAAACAGCAAAAAGAAGAAACAAATGGCGCAATGTTTTGTTTTGTTGGCGCCAGTAAATAAGAAATAAGAAATCCTGTCATTCGTCCCAAATGTCCCACGAAATGGTGTTAAATAGTAAATTGACTTGACCTCTATTGCTAAGGTGTTGCTATTTAGTATGATATTAGATTACATAATTTTATTGAAACGATTTTAAATCTGATATCTATTTCGCATGCCATTCTGCTGAAGTGGTTCTCTGGCAATATTTAAGTTCGCATTAGGTTGAATAGTATTGGTTCGATTAGATTCTGTTGCGATAACGTGATGTCATTACTTAATAAAGTTTTAATATGATAACAATAAAGGAAGTAATAAAATTGCATGTGGTGTTTTTAAAAATATTGTATTTAGTGATTATGGCTTGTCTGTTTCTATTAATAATATGTATATATGAGTTGATTTTTATAAACGTGAGTACAAATAACTAAAGTTCACAATTTTGCAATGCTAATTATTTTAATCACTATCTTTTATTTCATACAAGGATTATTGTAAAGCTAACAGTAAAAATGTTATCTGTTTTCGTAGAATGATCACCCACCGGTATGTACGTATAATGAATTGCCTGCATAAAGATAACGAAAAAACTTAAAACCAAAAGTCCGAAATTCAGTGAAGAATTAGCTGTTTTATGATCATCATAAAAAATGAAAATGTATTAAAAAATAAATATCACCTATAAAATATATATGAAGTAGATTTAGCAGCAACAGTTTTGTTTGGAAAACGGCAGTGCAAGTGTGCTCTGTTGAGAATACAACCGCTTTGAATAAACAAAAATATTGGTGAATTTATTATAAAATAAAATGATTAAACTACTTGTACTCTGCCTCGCAGTGTGCTCCACGTTGGCAGATTCACGTGAAAAATTACTAAGAAATGCAGAAATGGATTTACTCCAACTAATGATTGACACACGACAGGAGCAGCGTAATAACCCCGAACAAAGTATGGCTTGCTTCGATTACTATCTGGCACTATTTGAAAGACTAAATGAAGAATATAAAGCGAGCCATGAAGCTTGTTTAACCACAGCGGCTGCGGATAGAGAAGACGTCGATGAAGGTACAAATCCTCAGCGTGCGGAAATAGAAGAAGCCGCGCAGTCATCATGTGAAGAGATGAAAACGTGCGCTAAACACACCGACTCTGTTGACTATTTTAGCTGTTTTGCCAAGAGTGTGAGTTGATTAAAATATATGCATATTTTAAAACTATTGCATTACATTTCATATTAATCAAGCAAATATTTACCTCTTAGGGCAAAGAGAGTTCTGAGAGTTCGTACAAAATATCTGCCGATGCAAGCGAAATCCTAGCGGCTGTGCGTGAGAGTTATCGTGTAATTGAGAACGAAGAGAATCGCTGTACGAATGCCTCAGCACGCACTTATGTTGAGGAGACCTATCAGGCTAATGAGGCTCTGCAAAGCTGTCTGCGTGGGGAGACCACAGTGCCACCTGCAACAGAAAGTCCAACAACAGCTATTCCTGACTCAAATGATAGTGCTATTAAAAGCATGAATGTGCCAGTGGAGAAATTTCGTCCTGACGAAGCTTACGCTAATAACTTTAATACCTTTGATGATGCAAAAGTGAATAAAGACAGAAAAGCAGCTATAATATAATAAAAATAATTGAAATACTAAGATTTTATTATTTTTTATATTATATTATTATATTATATTATTTTTTCTTCAAAATTTGTTAAATAAAAAGTAAGGAAATGGGTGATATTAACTACTGCATGAATTTGACTCATGACTTATACTAAAACAATAACAGCAAGTATTAAAAATTGTAACCAAATAAAAATAAAATAAAATAAAATAAAATAAAATAAAATAAAATAAAAAAAATAAAATAAAATAAAATAAAATAAAATAAAATAAAAAAAAAAAAAATAAAATAAAATAAAATAAATTAAAACAAAATAATATGAAGAAAACAAAATACTATTAAACCGAAGTAAAATAAAATAAAATAATATAAAATGAAACAAAATAAAATAAAATAAAATCAAACCAAATTAAATAAAACAAAAATCTAAAATAAATAAAATAATTTTAGATAAAATAAAAGGCAATGAAAAGGAAAATTAAAGGAATACTGCAAACTATGGATATCGATAAAATAACTTGGCTTATTTTTTTTTTTATTATTTTGCTTTTGAGAAGTAACTCGGCCTATCTCAGGATATATTTAGTTTCTTTCTACGATTCTACATATAAAAGTGCATATAAGTGATACAATCCTGTACATATATATGTATATGCATGAAGTTTTTGTGAACACCTACTCTTCGTGTAGGATCTCACAAAGTATCGGTGGGAGTGATATTCGGCTTCATAGCTGCAAGCTGTGCGTAACTTTACTTTGTAGACATTTGAAAACTTCTCACACACACAAAAAAATTAAAAAAATTTAGACTTAAACAACAACAACATATGTTTGTTCGTACTATCAGTAACACATACCCGACTACCTACAAAAGTACGTAAACAACAACTCGTCACCAAAGGCATTTTTGTACAACGAAATATTTTCTCTCTTTCATCTGAGTGTGTGTGAAATGTGCGTGCAACATTTGTCTAACGCCGAATGAAGGTGTGTATGTTAGTAGTGTGCGTTTGATGGCGAGTAAATCTTATTCGTTTTGTAAAATTTCCAACAGTGTCTATCTCAGCTGCCATCACCTGACATATGCATTCAACCGCCAACGGGCATGCAGTATGACAAACACCGCCTACACCTATGCAAGTGCGAGCTGCCTTTTCGACTAACTCACGTTGGAATTTCCCATTTTCTCCACATTTGTTGTTTGATGTAACGCTTAATATGTGCGTGTATCAGTTGGGCTGTACATGACAACACTTTTTCTTGTTTTACTGACAGCCTGACAATGAGCGACAAGTTATACAGCGCAGCCCGGAGCTATTGCACGTCAAATTTTTAAGTTGCAATTTTTCATTTTCAGCAATTTTTTTCCTTTTAGCTTTCAGAAACTTGAACTTCTGGTTTTGTATTTGTGTGCACTCATGCATTTGCAACTTTGTTGCGTATTTCGTTTTAACATGTTTTCTGTTTGTTTTGCTGATTTCCATTTTGGTTAAAATGATGGAAAATTGATGGTTCACATCATCATCATTATCAGCGGGGACATAAAATTCATGGGTTCTGCAAATTTGGCCCTTCTGAGTTTGCGCATGCGCATACGCGTGATGACACATAACACTAGTTTTACCTGAACTCTTTATCAACATTCTACATTTTTTTTCTCGCAAATATATTGCGTTTGTCTTTTGCATTGTTTACTCGTCAGATTTTAGTCATGAAGTGACTGATTTTTTCGGCTAAAATTTGGTTTCTCCTTCGAAAAGTGACTGTAGGTCTCACTCTTGAAGCTGGAAATGTGAAAAGTGTTTTATGGTTCCGATACTGCAAAAGTCGATGTGGCACATTTTCGGTTCCGTCGCTTCGTTTATTCCGGCAATTCGGATGTCGAAGATAATAAAGTAATGAAGATCAAGTGATTCAAGTGAACACTATTTCGATTGTTCAAGAGCTAAACATTGTCCAAACAATAGTTTGAAACCACTTGAAAACGGTTGGGTATACAATGAATGTATGGTTGCCACAAGAGTAAAAGAAACAACCCCCATGATCCGAGCTGCCATCTGCGAATCGTTGCAACAAAAACGACACATTTCTGAAACGAATGGTGACGGGACATGAAAACTGTAGTCAAAAGTCAACGGTCGTGCTCGAGCCGAGACAAACGGTCGCCAATCCAGAATTTACGACTACAAAAGTTTTTTTTTTTTATTTGTCACCTACTATGAGCTGTTCCGCTATGACCAAACTCTTAATTCAGTTCTGTACTGAAAGCTATTGAAGAGCATAAAAGAACACCCAGACTCGCCCAGTTATGGCCAACAGAGGTGGCGAGGACACACCCATCGCTCCGAAGCTCCTAGAGCTTAGTTGGGAGGTTATTATGCATACATCCTATAGTCCAGTAGTCCAGACCTCGCACCAAGTGATAACCATATATTTTTGTTTATTCATGGCCAATGATTTGAAATTACCTTTCAAATCGAGAAAAATATAAAGTATTATTATGTATAGTGATATATGTTTAACAAAATTAAAGCACTAATTATCAGCTTAAAACAAAAAAAAGTAAGATCATAATTAAATATATAAATTACTCTATAAAAGTCTTAAATTTCTTCACATATACTTTTTTATTTAAAAAACTTAAACAGAAATATTTCATTCGTGAGCATATATGTAACGGTATATTACATACCACTGCATTAAAAATATCTTCACCACAAATTTTTATTATAAGTATTTAAAGCAAAGCCATTTAAATTCATAAGAGATAATTATGAAAAAATTTTAATTTAATTTGCAGAGTGCAATAAAATAGTAGAGTAAACCGTTAAACTAAAAAAAATTACCATATTTAAATATATCGATCATATGAATAAATAAGCATAATTTTATTTACATTTAAATATTATACTTTTTAATGTTTATATGGCAATGCCATTTCGATAACGATTTTTTCATACTATGCAAATAGTAAATATATGCAGCTGCTTATTTTATGATACAATATATATACTTACGAAACTCTGCTTCCACATTTTTTTCTTTGCTTTTCAATTATGCTGGGTGCGTTCAACTCGAGTTCAAGCGAAAGTAAATAAACGTTTGCAACTGCAATTAAATTATTGAGAAAATAAGTTGTGAATTTCGAATGAGTTAACACTAAATGAACTGTGGGTGTGTGTGTGCTTTTCGTAGAAGATTTTTTCTTTTTGGTTTTTAAATTTTTTTTTTAGTTTTTAACACAACTTCGTGGCGTAAAATATTAATTTAATTTCAAATCAACACATTTAATTAGGTGAGCTATTTATATATACATACATATAAATATACATGTGTATGAATGTATGCTAATGCAGTCAATTTCAAATAAACTAGAATTGTTAAATTTTTCCGTTTTTTTTTTTTATTTTCACTTCGCACAAATTTTCGCAATTATTTCAAGCATTTGCCGTTGTCCTTTTGCGCTATGCCAAAGATAAATGTTGCATGCAGTGCTGGAAATCGGGGTTAAATTTCATTTTAATTGTGTTTTTAAACTTTCCCCAGTGAAAAAACGAAAAGAGAAAAGAGAAAAAGTTGATAATAAAAATATATAAAATTAAACAAAATAAAATAAATTGTGAAAAATAATGAAAATCCAGAAACTTTACAATTTATGTGCGCTCAAATGCTGCTTCTAAGCATTTTAATTTTCATTCTTGTATGTGCTTATGCATGTGTGTGTATGTGTGTGTGTGTGTGTGTTTTGTATTTGGTTAGTGGAACCGACCGACAAAAGTTAATAACCGTTTAAATTGCTTTGCTATATTGTATGATATATGCGTGTGCGCACATTTAAGGGCGTAAAGTCGTATGCATATTTATGTAAATATGTAAATGTTAGAGATGAACATGTACAGTCGACTCTCGCTAATTCAAACCAGCGATAATTTGAACTTCTCTAAAAATATTAAAGTCATCACGAGCTCCCTAGAAATTCTACTAATATTTCGATTGTTATTCTTAATAGAAATGAAAAAAATAAATTTAAAGGAGGAGCTCGGCTGAAATTCGCTACAGCGAATACAAAGCGCTATATATACATATATCTGGCTTTCCAATAAGAGGTTTTATTTTGATATTCTAAGAAAGCTGGCAGCTATTGAGATTAATTAACGGATGTTTATTTAAATGTAAGGAGAGAAAAATGACATAAATAATGGAATAAAAGATCAGCACGATGGCCGTCACCATGGCTACGTTTACAGCTCGGTAACTGCTATATGCCCTCAAAAGCTTCACGAACTCCAACTTTGACGTTATGAAGCGACGTTGGACGGCTGGCGTAACCTTATCCATCACGTGGCGCCAAAGGAAAAAGTCGCTAGGTGTTAAATCACAAGGTTTCGGTGGCCAGTAGTAAGCACTTCTTTGAGTGAGCACACGATTCGGAAACTTTTCTCTTAAGCGATCAATGGTTTTGCAGCACGTGTGGCACGTAGCATCGTCTTGTTGAAAATAAACGTCGTTCAGCTCAAAACCATCCAATTTTGAACATAAAAAATCATTAATCAGCTCTCGATTTCGCAATCCGTTTACGGCAATAGTTCCAAAGACCACGCCGGACTATTAACCGCAACAAACCGTAACACGTTACACAAAACAATCTTAGATTTTCCGCTATTCAGATTAATTAGTGTTGCTTATTGACTTAGTCATCAATCAAGTTGATTTTTCGAAGAAATTCCTTATTATTGTAGTCTCTTCAAACTCTTATTGAAAAATTCTTTATATATATAAGTGGAACGAAATCATAAATAAATAAATAACTCATTTTTCAAAAGTTTCCCGGACAAGAAGCTTATTTTAAAAACTGAGTATGCCATAAGGAAAAATAGCAAATGAACTACTACTAGACTCCAAGGTCGTGAGTTTGCCTGATTTGCTTCCTGTGGGTGAATATGTTGCTGTCACAGGTTCACTAGTCAATAGCGAAATTTTAAATTTTATCTACGTTAGATGGAAATGTAAAAAGAATACAACGATGAAGATGTGGATGTTGTATCAGAATCTCTGGCAGAGGTGTCAGTTAACGATGCAAGAGCCGCATGCGACATCTTGCGAAGCTTTTATAAACAAGAAAGTGCTAATGAAGCATTTCAAGCACTTCTTCTCTAAAAAAAATTATTGAGTAAACTGAGCAGCAAAAATGATATTTTTTTCCAAAATATTTTCTAATTAACATTATGAATATGTAAACTATGTACCTCTGAACTTTTGCGGTTGGAAGAATACCAGTGTTTAAAAAATAGTTGATTAAAAATAATCTAAAATTCGTGGTTTTATTAAAATTCGAACACCATATAATTCGCAATGTTTTGAGAGCCCCCACGAGTTTCTAATTAACGCCAGTCGACTGTATACATTTTTATATTACATTCACTTTTATTTTTAGCTCTTGCAAGCTCCACAGCAGGCAGCACATACAAATGTATGTGTGTAATTTAGTGAAATTGCACAGAATATTTAACTGCAGGCAAAATAATCTGCGCATAAAAGTTTATTAACTGATGAAAATTATAAAAAAAAATGCATATTTATTATTTATAAATGCACGTGCAGCTACTTTTTCTATAACTACTAATTTTAAATAAATTCTGAATTTTCCTTTATTTTTAATGGAGAGCGAAAGTGCAATTGATTGTCACCTTTTTAGGAATACTTTGCTTTTGTTTTTGCGATTTGGTAGCTGGCAAATTTTTTTTAAATAATTTACAGGTATTTTCACTTAGATATATACATACACACTTCGAATTATAATGAATAATATAAATAATTAGTTACGAACTCCTGGGGTTTTTCTAAAAATTTTTTGGATTTCAATTAAAATAAATAAAAAAAAATATAAATAAATATATATAAAAAAAATTATGTATGCTTGTATGTAGGAAATGAGTTGTAAATAGCAGATAATCATTAAATATATAATAAGTATTGACAAGATTAATAAAATATATTTATGGATTCATATGGTGTTAGTAAAGCTTGGAAAATAGTTTAAGTTAATTTATTTGAAATAAAAAAATATCAAACTGTTTTTGAAATGAAATGATATATGTTGACATATTCAAGCGTTATAATATTTCAATGAAAAAATTGCAAAGAAAATCGAAAAAAATAAATAAATTTATAAGTTTATAAAAAGTGATAAAAAGGAGGAAAAAAGATTTATACACAGCTAACTAAATAATATAACATGCTTTTTCTTCATAAAAAGAAATAAAAGTATTCTTTTGCAATTATATTATAATTAATTTTTATAAAATAGAAAAAAATTTATTAAAAATTAATGGTTTCAATAATTGGTAGAAAAACACCAGATATTTTGAAATTAATAAAATTAGCTTTGTGTAAAAATAAAATTTATATGACAATCAACAATTAGAGGAAAAAAATAAAAAAGTTTATGGATTTACATTTTACTAGGAAATAATCGAATAAGAAATTAGAAATTTAAATGAATTTATAATTAAAAATAATTAGAAAAAAAAAATGACAGGAAATTGTTATTATTGTGAGTTAATAAATATATAGTTTACTTTATTAAAAATACGGCGCTGGAAAACTTGCTGAAAAAAAACTTGTCTAAACGTAGTAAATGAACACCCGTTCCAGAAGTGGCGAAAGATGTGCCTCACTCTGGTCAGCTGGCCGTTCAAAAAGCCACTGAAATTCTACAACTGCTAACGGTGCCTTAAGGCAACACTAACATGACAGCCTGGAGTCATTTAAAAAAGGCGGACTATTGACAAAAGTTCGTTGTCTGAGTGTCGCCTGAATTAAGGCAAAAAAAAAAAAAAAAAAAAAAAATGGTAGACCAATCGGACTATCGCTCAAGCTTGTCATCACGGACTATAAGGAGTGGGTTAAAATGCAATAATAAAAAAGGCCGACGACTCTCCACAAACGGCTTTAAGGTGATGCTGAGTCTATGGTAGGATTGAAAGATTGAAAGAGAATTGTTCAATATGAGCTATGACAGTCTGGAGGAACGATCTATGCTCAGCACTACTCTCAATAATTAAACAGCCTACAACAAGTTCTTCGAAAAGAGCGTCGAGAATTGATCGTTAGAAAAGGTGTTGAGTTTCATTATGATAGATAGATAAAATATACCTTTTTTTTGGCCAAACGAAGTCGCACTGAAAACTATTTGACCAAGTTCTTTGTCAACAAACCCTTAATACTTCTGCATCGATAAATATGTATATGTTTGTAATAAATTTTTAGTAAAGAAATTTTTTTAAAAAAAATAATCAATTGGTATATTAAAAGTAAAATATTGCCATGAAAAAAAAAATTAAATTTAACAGTTAAAATGATTTATTTGTAAATGGTAATGGTAATAAATTGATTTTTATAATATTAAAAAATAAAGAAATGTATAAAATAGTTCTAAAGAGACAGTAAAATTAAATGAAGAGAAAAACTAATAGCCATGAAAGGTTATATCTTCGGCATGGACGAAGGAAACTTCTTTTTATTGTATTTAATAAATTTTTTTGTTTTTGCTTTATTTTTCTAGATAACCGTTTTTGTTTGGGCGTCATAATTTTTAAAATATTTTTCTGAAATGTTTTATAATTAAATTAAATTTTTTTTTGAATTTTGTTCTACTGAAAATCTTTCGTCTCTAATTTTTGTAATTTTAGTTTGTTAAAGTAAATTTCAATAAATTTTGAAAAATATTTTTTTTAATTAATTAAATTGTAATTTTTCTACACAAGTAATTGATTTTATTCGTTCATTAAAGTTTTAAAAAATTTTTTTTTGGGGATATTTGAAACTGCTTTTAAAGTTTTTAGTTATTGTACTTTAAATTATTAACTCTTTTCTCATTTTGAGTATTTAAAGTTGCAAAATTTAATTTCTAGTCTCATGCCTATGGTAGTTTTTGTTTCAAAATATTCATGACGTGCACATGTTTATAAAATATTTAATCAAAGTATAAATTTAATGTTCTTCTATTTTTCATTGTTTTTATTCAGAATGTTTTGGGCTTTAGTTGCTTTTCAATTGATGTAGAGTTTTCATGTTGTGGAAACCCTACACACAGAGCATTAACATTTGACGTAATTTTTTAATTCTGCTTTCATAAATAAACTATAAAAATTTTATTTTGATTTCTTTTTTGTTACAATTCATTTAAATCTTTGTTATTATTTTTATTTGCCTTTTTATTGAAATTTGTTTTATTATATTTTTATGTTTAATTATTAAAACGTACACTTGAAAATTTTCTTTCGCTAGGAAATTGTGCTACAAATTCGTTCAATATGCGCGCAGCACATCTGAATCGGTTAGTATGTGTTTGTGTGAAAAAGTCACGGCGACCGCAATGAACTAACCTGATCGAGTGGAAAATTGTGCTATTTATTCATTTCCCCCAAACACAACAAGTGGCCGACTATTGCGATTTTCACCCTCACAAACGCAAAAATGATGCTAATTTTCTATATTTTTTTTTTATATTTCACGCTAATAGCTATTTATGGCCAATAACACCTACGAACATATTTATATGTCTATCTATGAGTAGTCAACAGTGGTAGCAATGCTATTCGTTAAATTCTTTTTTTTCCTTTTGTGTGTAAAGTGTGCTATTTTGCATAGCATTCAAACGTTCACAAAATGATTATATAACTATTTATAAATGTGTGAATGTGCGTGTGAATGTGTGTGTAATGAAATATAAGTAAAATATTATATATTTCTTGTGGTTAGTATTTCAATAAAGCATTTATTTATCACTAAATACTTATGTTTAAATAAATTATACTTATATAAATATATACATGTATACTTCCTGATTAATATACAAATACACGCACACACTCACACTCATTTAACACTCATTAGCAGCATTGCCTACCAACAGGCGCTGCGCTGGCATCGCCAGGCATTAATTGAGGCTTATGCTGATATATGATTTCTATTGATAATAACGGTAGAGGTAGCAGCCAAAACAGCAATAACAGTAGTCGCGTAAAATTGATAATATTTGTGGGCGTGAAATTTTTCCGCTTATCTTTGTCACTTTTATCATGTAAATATCGGTGTGCTTATGTATGTGTCAAGTGTCTGCATATACAAATATATATATGACAACAACGTATAAATTCAATTTTATTATGCCGTTATGCAGCCGAATGTTTTTCATCTTTGAGCTACAGCTGATTTATGACTCATTGATTGAGTGGCGAATAGTTGCGCTCGGCTCGTTGGCTGCGTGGGAGTTTAGGTGTTTCGCATAACAATGCATAGAGTGGTCGTAAAATCACACTTACATAGAGGAAAACATATGCACGTATGCCTGCCTCTTTTCGGGTACTAAGAGTTACGTAACTGTTTGTGTATATACATATGAATAGCAACAGGTGAAGCAATTATCAGGGAGTTTGTTTGTTGTAATTTTTTTTTGTTCTTTGTTTTTTTTTTTTACAAAATAGGAATTTTTTATCTCTCTAAGTCTATTTGCCGTCACAGCTATTTACATTTAATGTATTTATGTAATTTACTACTGCTTTCCACGCGAAACCGTTGATAAGTCTCATTGTGTGCTAATACTTATTTATGACAATACATTAACTTAATTATATTTAATTGAAATTTAGTGTCAATTTATGTGAAATTGATTTGTATAAAGCACTCTTGCGTAAATCCATTTTTTGGAGAATTTCTGCATTAAATACTAATGGGAGCTTAGCTGGAATCGCAAGAAATATGAGCCTTTTATTGTGTACTTCCTGGAAAGTGCGCAAATAATGCAGTTTATTTTATTTTGTGCCGCTCAGATACGTAAAGACTCTGCACATGCATACTTGTACTATTAGCTATTATTTAATTTTTTTTGAATTGAAATCTCTTGCAATTTCAATGGTTTACTTTTGAAGGGCGGAGGGTTAAGTTAAAAAGTGTTTCGTATTTTACCTTCTACTATTATAAATATTTTTTTTGTTATAATTGGCGCTTTATGACCGCTATTTTGTGGTGTTTGCGTCTTGATGTTTTTCCAACTAATGCAGGGACCTTTAGTTTAATTTAAGCCACCTACGAACGGCTGATGGTTTTTTTTTATGAGGAGCCTTAATTTTTATGTCAGAAATATACCCTGACGAGGACTGACGGCAGTTAAATTAATTTTTTATTTATTATGTATTTACTATATATTTAGGATGTTGTTCGTAGCAGGTTTTCAACCGAGACCTTCCGAGTCGCAGTACGCAATGACAGTTCCTGCATTATTATTATTATTATTATTATTATCATTACTGTTATTATTACAGCGGCATACAGCGTGAGACGGTCCCCTTTTTTAGTCTCGTGCTGTAAGTCGTATCGGTACAATTACGAGTGTGTGCAACAGTCTCTAAAAGTAACAGTTTTTTTTGATTGTATTTACAATTTATTGTTTGATTTCCAATAATTGGTATAAATGTTTCCATTAGGCCTTTTAAGAGGCACACCTAGTGTAATGGCTTAAAAAAGGTGATTTTTGGGAATTTTTGTTAAAAAAATACACTATCAATTATTTCAAAAATTTAAGAATATATTTATACATGTTTGAAGAATATACAGTAAAAATTTGAAGAAAAAAATTGAATACTTTTAAGTTATAGTCGATCTCCAACGGCGTGAAAAAAGAAAGGTCCTTCACTGCTGCAGTGATTCCGGCCTTCTCCGTGGATGAAATCTTAAAAAAAAAAAATTCTCCTTAAACTAGATAATATTGCCTACTACTACTATAAAAAAAATCAAAAATTGACATTGAAAAAAATAGTCGAATTTACTTTTTACTTTACTTTTTGGCTTGTCAAAATTCGATTTTTTGATCAGATCAAAAATCGAAAGGTCATTGTACGGAGAACTACATATAGAACATGTAAAAAAAATTCGATAGTGATCGGATCATTTGTGCTTGAGTAATCACTGCAGCAAATTCGGAAAATGCCGTCTCAAGAAAAAAGCGTTTAAATATAAAATAATCGTATTAACTCGTAGCTAATGAGACTCTCTAGCTGCCGAGCGACTGCTCTTTGATTGAATCAGTTTTGTTTGAGCATTCGCCAAAGATGGACACTATAGAAAGATAGATGGACAAATAGAAAATACGCCATATTTGAAAGTCTTTCTTCTATAAGAGTAAAAACGCAAGGCAGGCGGCTGAAAATATGGATGGCGATAAAAACGATAAAATCATTAGCATTGTCGCATGGAAAATTTTTCAGAACCATTTAAACAAAGCTGGATGCGAAAAGTAAAAATCAAAGGAAAAATAATGGATTTTTTTTTATTACACCTAATATATTGGAGTCTTTTAACATATGCTTTTGGTAATTTTCTTGGTATTACTTGGTTGGGGTTAGTTCTGTAATGTGAAAATTGTGTGGAGTTCATTACCTGTCGGCTTGAGTTATAGCTGTATTGAGTTGAGTTGATGCGGCTGCTGGTTAACCCCAGCACACTTAAGCCAATGGGCTCATTGTGATACCATTAAACAGTGCCCAGTTCTTATACCAGTCAATATGTTCATGGAGAACCAACCAGAAGGATAAAATGATTAGATTTTTTCCCTGTGCAGTCATGTTGCACGGGACTTCGCTTAACTATCGTGAGTCAGCTTCCCTGGTGAAGGTCAGATAGATGAGTTCCTTTTCTTGCTACTCCGTCTGCCGTGCAACTGCCTGGGATGTCCCCGAATATGGCAGTACTGCACTTCGTTGAGAGTTTGTTAAGAGTATTCCTACAATTTATGGCCACTTTTGACGTGGTACCGCTACATTGAACTGATTGCAGCACGAATATTGGAGTAAATTCTAACCGAATGACCAGCTACCATAGATTTGTGCAACCACTCCGTATCCTCCATGATTGCGAAGAGCTCCATCTGTAAAACACTACAGTGGTGCAGTATTCTCATGCTCATGCTTACTGAGACCACGAGAGATTAAATTCCGCAATCCACATTCCCATCAAGCTTCTAGCCATCTATGATGATGGCTATTGCTCTGTAGTCGAGGGCGTTGGTGTTTTCCCACTCTCATTTATTTGATATTCTCGTGAAGAAAAAAATATCGAAGCATCCACTGTAGGTGATGGGGTTTCAGCTCATTCGGCACTTCTGTAAGAGATAATATTTTTGTATGTCCCATACTGCATTTTTTCCAAGGTTAAGTTGCATACAATCTCATTGTGTTGCAACCCGCTTGTAGTTTCCCATATAGCTCCAGCGGAAGGAAGTCGAGAAGAGTTAGCAGTGCTTTCGAGTTAGTTGATGGTAATGCTCCCGACATCAAGATGAATGCCGATCGTTCGATCTCTAATTTGCTCCTGCAGATGATTTTATCGAGTGCTGGCCACCAGACGGTGACCCCGTTGAAGAGGATTGGTCTAACTACCGATGTGTATATTCAGTGCACGATACTCTGTCTAAGACCCTTATCCTTATCTATTCTTTCGCCGTTTTACAGGCGTAGGGTACAGTTATAACTTTCCTTGATTTTCTACCATATTCCGGCTCCAGTTTAGTTTGTTAACTAAGATTATTCCAAGGTATTTGACTTCGGGCGACAGGGCAGTCTACACACCCTTCAGCTTGGCTGGTTTAAAGGGGTAAATAACATCATCTCGGTTTTATCAGTGTACGCATCCAGCTTACTACCTTTGGAGTGAATCGCTTAATGTTTGTAGGTATTTCCCTGTCGCTGTCACTGTCAGAGCAAAGTCGTTAGCGTATGCCACAACGCCATAGTCTGTATTGTGCAGTTTTTTAATCCACGCTTAGCTGTATGAATGTTTGAAGTGTTTTGAGTGGATGTAATATCTGAGAGTGAGTATATGCTTGGTGTGCAAATTATGGTATGTTTGCCAGTGAATCCTATTCCTTCTTCTGTGCTTCGTATAGTCATTCTTAAATGCAGGAACTCAAATGTAGCTTTCTATGTTTTGTCAGCTGCTTCCTAATTATCATTCCTAGTTTATGGAGGCCTTTATAGTTCTTGAGAAGTACGTTAGTATAGAAATGACGAGGATATTTACGGCTTTGCAGAGGTTTTTCACCTTTTTTTGATGTTATTTTTGCAGTGGCTTTTTAATTGTGGATAGATATTTATATGGTTTTTATTATTCTATTCTATCTAGAGTTTGGCTATGAAGTTTCTTGTTGTCTTGCCCTTTCTTTGTATATTACACTTAACACTTATTTACTGAAAATTCCAATTTAAAATATTATTTTTATTATAATTTTTCCCAATTGCTTACATAGTTCCCGACCATCTGAGTGAGAGAGAGAGAGGCAATCTGCATACTGTGTACCATTCAATTG